TCTCTATGTCTGTGTGTCTCTATGTCTGTGTGTCTCTTATATGTCTGTGTGTGTCTCTATATGTCTGTGTGTCTATGTCTGTGTGTCTCTATGTCTGTGTGTCTCTATGTTCTGTGTCTCTATGTTCTGTTCTATATGTCTGTGTGTCTCTGTCTGTGTGTCTCTATATGTCTGTGTCTCTCTATATGTCTGTGTGTCTCTATGTCTGTGTGTCTTTATGTCTGTGTGTCTCTATGCTGTGTGTGTCTCTATGTCTGTGTCTCTCATGTCTGTGCTATGTCGTGTGTGTCTCTGTCTGTGTGTCTCTATGTCTGTGTGTCCCCATGTCTGTGTGTCTCTATGTCTGTGTGTCTCTATGTCTGTGTGTCTCATATGTCTGTGTGTCTCTATGTCTGTGTGTCTCATGTCTGTGTGTCTCTATGTCTGTGTGTCTCTATGTCTGTGTGTCTCTATGTCTGTGTGTCTCTATATGTCTGTGTGTCTCTATGTCTGTGTGTCTTATGTCTGTGTTCTATGTCTGTGTGTCTCTATGTCTGTGTGTCTCTATGTCTGTGTGTCTCTATATGTCTGTGTGTCTCTATATGTCTGTGTGTCTATGTCTGTGTCTCTATGTCTGTGTGTCTCTATGTCTGTGTGTCTCTATGTCTGTGTGTCTCTATATGTCTGTCTCTGTCTGTGTGTCTCTATATGTCTGTGTGTCTCTATATGTCTGTGTGTCTCTATGTCTGTGTGTCTCTATGTCTGTGTGTCTCTATTCTGTGTTCCTATGTCTGTGTGTCTCTCTATGTCTGTGTGTCTCTATATGTCTGTGTGTCTCTGTCTGTGTGTCTCATGTCTGGGCTTCTATGTCTGTGTGTCTCTATGTCTGTGTGTCTCATGTCTGTGTGTCTCTCTATATGTCTGTGTGTCTTCATGTCTGTGTGTCTCATGTCTGTGTGTCTCTATGTCTGTGTGTGTCTCTATGTCTGTGTGTCTTCATGTTCTTATGTCTGTGTGTCTCCTATGTCTGTGTGTCTATGTCTGTGTGTCTATGTCTGTATCTCTATATGTCTGTGTGCTCTATGTCTGTGTGTCTCTATGTCTGTGTGTCTCTATGTCTGTGTGTCTCTATGTCTGTGTGTGTCTCTGTCTGTGTGTCTCTAAGGTCTGTGTGTCTCTATGTCTGTGTGTCCATGTCTGTGCCTGTGTCTGTGTGTCTTGTGTCTGTGTCTCTATGTCTGTGTGTCTCATATGTCTGTGTGTCTCTATGTCTGTGTGTCCCTATGTCTGTGTGTCTCTATGTCTGTGGTTCTCGTGTTCTATGTCTGTGTGTCTCTATGTCTGTGTGTCTACATGTCTGTGTGTCTCATGTCTGTGTGTCTCTGTCTGTGTGTCTCTATGTCTGTGTGTCTCTATGTCTGTGTGTCTTCATATGTCTGTGTGTCTCTCATGTCTGTGTGTCTCTTGTCTGTGTGTCTCTATGTCTGTGTGTCTCTATGTCTGTGTGTCCCCTATGTCTGTGTGTCTCTATGTCTGTGCTCTTGTCTGTGTGTGTCTATATGTCTGTGTCTCATGTCTGTGTGTCTCTATATGTCTGTGTGTTCCTGTCTGTGTGTCTGTCTGTGTGTCTCATGTCTGTGTGTGTCTCTATGTCTGTGTGTCTCTATGTCTGTGTGTCTCTATGTCTGTTGTCTCTATGTCTGTGTGTCTCTATATGTCCGTGTGTCTCTATGTCTGTGTCTTCTATGTCTGTGTGTTTATATGTCTGTGTCTCTATGTCTGTGTGTCTCTTGTCTGTGTGTCTCTATGTCTGTGTGTTCCTATGTCTGTGTGTGTGTCTCTATGTCTGTGTGTCTCTCTATGTCTGTGTGTCTTATGTCTGTGTGTCTCTATGTCTGTGTGTCCCTATGTCTGTGTGTCTCTATGTCTGTGTGTCTCTATGTCTGTGTGTTCCCTATATGTCTGTGTGTCTCATGTCTGTGTGTCTGTATGTCTGTGTGTCTCTCATGTCTGTGTGTCTCTATGTCTGTGTGTCTCTCATGTCTGTGTGTCTCATGTCTGTGTGTGTCTGTATGTCTGTGTGTCTACATGTCTGTGTGTCTGCTGTCTGTGTGTCTGTATGTCTGTGTGTCTCTATGTCTGTGTGTCTCATATGTCTGTGTGTCTCATGTCTGTGTGTGTCTCTTGTCTGTGTGTGTCTCTATGTCTGTGTGTCTATATGTCTGTGTGTCTCTATGTCTGTGTGTCTGTATGTCTGTGTGTCTGTATGTCTGTGTGTCTCTATATGTCTGTGTGTCTATATGTCTGTGTGTCTATATGTCTGTGTGTCTCTATGTCTGTGTCTCTATGTCTGTGTGTCTCTATATGTCTGTGTGTCTATATGTCTGTGTGTCTCTATATGTCTGTGTCTCTATATGTCTGTGTGTCTATATGTCTGTGTGTCTCTATGTCTGTGTGTCTATATGTCTGTGTGTCTCTATGTCTGTGTGTCTCTATGTCTGTGTGTCTATATGTCTGTGTGTCTATATGTCTGTGTGTCTATATGTCTGTGTGTCTCTATGTCTGTGTGTCTATATGTCTGTGTGTCTCTATGTCTGTGTGTCTCTATATGTCTGTGTGTCTCTATGTCTGTGTGTCTCTATGTCTGTGTGTCTCTATGTCTGTGTCTTTGTTTATATAATGAATCATATAACGTTTCTATGATATCTTTTCTTATATTTTCAGGTGGACAGGACTACTACAAGGTAAATGGCAACTCTATTAAGGTATTAGTTAAGTAGCTTATAAGTGAGTAATTTATATGTTAAGTATGTTAAGTATCTAATAACTTCATATTTTTCTGGTTAAAGGACAACTCCAGGGGTTAATTACTCTCTAAGTGACGCTCATTGGTTGTATATTTGATATCAATTATTTTCACTACGAGTATCAAATATAATAAATTCGTACAATACATAATTACTTATTCAAAATAAAAACTCTCGCCTTATTGGTCCGAGACTGGGTGGCTGTGACGTCATTCGAGGCATCAGTACAGAAGTGGCTATCTAGAATGAGTCTTTTAATTGATTACTTACACTGTACATTTTATTTTAATTGTCATAACATTACCTTGATTAATAAAAAAAATAATAACATTAATAAATCACTGTTACAAAATTATTCCCTAGTAATATATTGTAAATTTCGATTAAAAAATAATCAATCTTTAAACCAGCGGACTGAGAGGGGGGGGGGGTGGCTGGTCTCAGGTGTGGCCGCTGCTCACCTGTCGTTCAGTTGTCATGGACAGATAGATGCCTAAGAATGAAACTGTCTCGGGTTTTTTTTTAGCCTATTTCTTCGCATGGTAATATATTACTCTATTTTTTAGTGTATTTATTTATTTATTTATTTATTTATTTTGCTTTTTATTTAGTTGGGACGAAATTTTCACCTGTGAGTATAGTGGTGCAAATTTACCTGTTTTAGTAATTACTGTGAGTCTTTATGTAAGCTGGTGGTGATGACTCCTCTGATGGCGTCACTCCTGTGGTGAGAGTCATAGAATTTTGTGCTCAAAGTTTGCTACGATTTTTTTAATTTTTTTTTTATATTTGTTTAATGTTATTCTTGATAATAATCACTGAAGAAAACAAAGGTACTGTCTGTTATGTGTTTTACGTAGGATTAATTTACAAATATTAGTGATTTTCATGTTAGAATTTACACTTATGTAAGTAAAGTGTTTCTGAAGGGAGATAATTCGAAGTAAAAAAAAGTGGAACAAGTGTTATATCGCCTCAACACCTTCACCACTATCGCCTCAACACCTTCACCACTATCGCCTCAACACTTTCATCACTATCGCCTCAACACCTTCACCACTATCGCCTCAACACCTTCACCACTATCGCCTCATCACCACTATCGCCTCAACACCTTCACCACTATCAACACCTTCACCACCCGCCTCAACACCTTCACCACTATCGCCTCAACACCTTCACCACTATCGCCTCAACACCTTCACCACTACAAAGGTCTCGCTCTTAGACCTCAAATCCCTTAATTGAAGTATTGACGACCTACAGACGGAAATTTCAAGAGGTAAAAAAGTAAGACCGAGGTCTGGTCCTTCTACTCTGCGATCTGGCGAGGAAATATATAAATCGCCTGAAAATATATCGCCCACTCGCCCGGGGGCTGTAATTAACTAATACTAAGAATAATTAATTGATCGAAATGCCCCCCTCCTCCAAAAAAAATTATAAAAATTAAGATTGAACGTCAAATAAACACTAATAAACAGACAAAAAAAAATATTGTAAATCAAATAAAATATGAAAATAAATAAATAATGACTAATACCAGATAAGATAAAGTGTAAATAATTCTATAAAACATTTTGAAATTCTCTCAGCTCAAAAACCTCCGATCATCACATTCTCATCTAGCGGGAGCCATCAGCTGAGAGCCTTCTGGGTACCGCTACTACTACTACTGCCGGTGCGCGGGAACCTCTTGAGTGCCCCTGGTTTGTTTATGTTTTTTGGCGGGCTTCTCACACTACTCAGGTAAATATTCTCCCCGCACTCATGCCTCTAAAAATCCCGGTAATACATAGCACTCGCGGGTATTACGGGGGATATTCCCGGGTAAAAAGAACCGTTTATACTATTTCATTTTGGGATTTAGTCTTGGTTTTGGGAGTATTTAAAGGAGGAGTGATAGAGGTGTGAGAGTTTGAAGAATATATATTTTTTTAAGGTTTTACACACACACACACACACACACACACACACACACACACACACACACACACACACACACACACACCACGGGGCCTACAACAAACTAAACATCTTTGACTAAAATATAATAAATCGAAATATTTTAGGTTGAAATATCCTGCACCGATTCGTCTTTGACTAAAGACTTGCATAATTAAATAAAAATCTTGCACAAACATCTTAAGGTAATCAATCAATCAATCAATCAATCAATCAATCAATCTTGAGGACAAAAGATGCTTCATTCACCTGCCCAGACTGAACTTGTCGATGCTGAGCTGCACCAGTTCACCGTACATGTCTCCAGCCGCCGTGAAGGTCAGCTGACAGAAGTGAGGCAGTGTTCCTCTGTTGGGCTTCGAGACCTGCAGGGTGTAGGTCGACCCCACCCTCCCGTAGTACGTCCTGTTGCAGGCTGTAGAGGAGAGATGGGAGATGTATATTATTGGCTGTGAGGAAGAGATGAGAAATAAGTAAGAGATATAATATTTTGGCTCTGGGAGAGAAATAATGCGTTACAGGTTGTAGTAAGAGAGACACAGTGAGCTTCGGGAAATAAACAGTGGGGGAAAGTGTGTGTGTGTGTGTGTCTCAAATATCCATACTGTAAATGAAACAAATTATCGTTTTAATGCAGCCATAATTACGTTCATTTACAATACCGCATATATTGGGCCAAAGTGTGAGAGGTGGTAAAATAAAAGCGAGAAAAAACCCACTATATTTACCTTATGTTCATGGGAGGTCATACGGGAAACACACGTATCTTTGACTCATTTCCTACTTCTGTGTGAGGTGGATCAAGGGCCTCAGATACCACAAGGAAGGAAAGAAATAACAGGGAAGAGTTGTACAAGACGAGTAGTAGACAGCGATCGTAAACTGCTCAAACAACAAGTAGAAAAATCCAACAAAAGAGTCAACAAGATAAGAAGAAGAAGAAGAAGAAGGAAAAAAAACGGAAATGGCTCGTGTAAAACTTTCCGTCTCCTCTAACACTGTGTGACTCGACGCTGCAAAATTTCATTCAAATCGTCGCAGTGTTTCCCCCTCCATCAGGCGAGGATCAGAGGGATGCAGAGTGAGAGAAACCTGTCATCGTTGGGAATTTCACTCCACTTGACGGTCTCAGCATTTCCCAGTCAGGAGAAGGAGATTTTCCACACAGGCCGGCACCACCAGCAAGCGGTGACATGTCAGCGTTTCCAATGTTGATCTAATTTCGAGCCCCGACAGACAAGATTTCCCCCAGCAGATGGCACAAGTTGGCGTGGCGGCAGGAGGATGGGAGGAGTTTGACAGAGTGTAGTCGAGATAACGTGATTAAAAGTGGATCATAAGACTTTTCCAGAGAGGCTGCCACCATGACATAGTCTGGGTGGTGGGTGGTCATGGGTCGGTGGTAGTGAGGTGGACAAGGAAAGAATGGAGGAGTTTAGCTGAGATAACGTGATCATCAGAGTCTCAAGGAGGGAGATGACCGGGTCTTCCGATTCACCAAGATTATGTACGTTAACTTTGTCTCCTAACTGGTGAGATAGAACCTTATTGTAATTTTTTATGCCATTCTAGACGTAATTTTAGTGCTTCAGCTTAAAGTTAGCCACTTAGGATGCGTTCAAACATCTCCAGTTACGAGGAAATTTTACCCTAAGAACATTTCAGAATCTGTGCTGAGAGTGGCTGGTGGGCTTTCATGGGTCGCTGGTCTCAGGAGGTCTGTGTCGTACCCAGGACGAAAAGTTGTCGTTACGAGTGTTGAGGAGGAACATATTTTGAAGGTCGTCTTACTGATGTTGCGTGTCTTACTTGTGTTACAGGTGTTAGTAGAGGTATTATAAGTATCGTAGGTGTTATAAGTATCGTTGGTGTTATACTGTAAGTATCGTAGGTGTTAGAGTTGTTTCATGAATTGGTAAGATTTAGGACAGCTGTTTTACAGATGTTGCTACAGGGACAGAGATGTAAAAACAAAGGTTAGGGTGAGGCACGGACGCTAGGATGCACGGACACAAGGACATACGGGACACAGACACAAGAACGCTAGGATGCACGGACACAAGGACACACGGACACAGACACACGGACACAAACACACGAACGCAAGGATGCACGGACACAAGGACACACGGACAAACGGACGCAAGAAGAGAAAGCACACAGCCACTCCTATGTCCCTCTTCCCGTGATGTCTTCCTCAAGGACGAAGAGGAGGAAATATTTTACGGTCACGTGAGGCGGGAAGGTAGAGGAGTGAGACGGTCGTTACCTCCACCAAATTACTCCGCTGTAGCATGAACGTCCCGTCGTCTTGTCGCTAAAATACCCCGAAAAAAAAATGTTTGTCTTCGTGTTTTTCATCCTCTGAGTTGGCTGGTGGGGAGATAACATGGTGATACTCTACCCTATAATAGCGAACATTTGGGGGTGTCCGTGTACTGGTGGAGAGAGAGAGAGAGAGAGAGAGAGAGAGAGAGAGAGAGAGAGAGAGACGCGGTCATACAGCACAGGTACACTAGTTCAGTAAGGTATGTTTTAATTAAGGTGTTAATTTAGGGATCCACAGGTGTTTTTTGTTTTTTTAGTCTATATGTGTGTAGGAGACGTTACTATTGAGTCTGTTTTGTGTAGAATACGTCAACAGTGTCTCAATCAGTGTATAGGAGACATCAATAGTGAGTGTTTGTGTACAGGAGAAATTAATAATGCGTGTGTGTGTGTGTGTGTGTGTGTGTGTGTGTGTGTGTGTAAGAGTCACCAATAGTATGTCCATGTGTGTACAGGAGACGTTAATAGTGTGTCTAGGAGGCCAGAAATCACTGGTGTCAGGTCAGGTGTGAAGTTACGAGTTGACCCCATAACTCAATAATATACAGACACTCACCTGGGTTCGGGAGATGCAGGTATATACCCCCCCGCTCAGGTGAACTTCTGTACCAATAACCACCGGGAGTGATGACCCCTTACACGCAAGCAGCTCATTTACATTAACGTCTTGACCCACAGAGCAACCAATAAGGAGTACAGTTGTGAACAAAATTCCCTGGACATGTTAGTACTTGAGGATAATTAGGTGAGAAGGATTTAGAATTTTAATGTTTTTGTTAGACTTTTCTTTGTGTTCAGGGGTGATTTTATCCATTTTGTGATTCAGATTTAATATGTGATGATGAAAAGCAACGGTGATTGATATAAACCATTCGTTTATGTGACCCGGAAGTAGATGCCAGATACTAGTCAAATTTAAACAATCCAATCCAAAAATTTACACGTGTTTGTATTTATATATATATATATGTGTGTGTGTGTGTGTGTGTGTGTGTGTTTATGTGTGTATGTATAAATATATGAATATACGCGTGTGTATGTGTATATTTGTGTGAGTATGTATGTGTAAATATATATACGTGTGTGAATATATTTATGCATGTGTACTTGTGTGACTAGGAATTTATGTCTATATTCGTGTATGTACTTGTGTGTGGTGTGTTTATATGGATTTGTGTATATACAATATATATTTATGTGTGTGTGTGTGTGTGTGTATCCCCGACTTTTTTTTGGGGGGGGGGGGTGTTTTTTTCTGTTTGCGCTAGAACGAATCCACCAGCGATTTTAGATTTTTACGCTCCGGGGAACTTCATTTCCGGACAATATCTCCACAACGCCTGAGCGGACTTGCCAGAAATTTGATACTTGTATACCTCGAAATCACACAGTGTAAACCATGATTTTTGGTGTCATCCTCACACTCGCTGCCTATTTATGTGTTTGGAGAGAGAGAGAGAGAGAGAGAGAGTCGTTGTTGAAGGAATATCTCAATACTGTATGACGTTTATATATATATATATATATATATATATATATATATATATATATATATATATATATATATATATATATATATATATATATATTTATACTCGAATATACATAATATAAACGGGATATATATTTCATTCTTTGGATTATTATGGCATAGTATCGAATTGTTTTATTATTATTATTATTATTATTATTATTATTATTATTATTATTATTATTATTATTATTAAGTGAGTTTGTTGTTTCTGGATGATCTAACCTAACCTAACCTAACCTACACTGTCTTAAAAATGGTGTGGTGGCCTTCTGGGAGTAATTTTGGGAACTAATTCTTTTGTTGGTGTTTAGCTCTCTCTCTCTCTCTCTCTCTCTCTCTCTCTCTCTCTCTCTCTCTCTCTCTCTCTCTCTCTCTCTCTCTCTCCATTTCCTCTTCTGTCTCTTTCTACATTTGTCACTCTCGCTTTTTATCTCTCTTTCTCTCTCCTCTCCCGTCACTTTCCACACTTATCTTCCACCATTTTCCTCTTCCATTCTCTCTCCTCCCGCGTTCCATTTTCTTTGAGCTTTCTGCATCGCTTGATCCACCTCCATCCACACAAAAATAAAGACGGACCCAAGATAATAATTTTTTTTCTTCTCTCTTTCGTATTGACTGGTTTGGGATTCATTGTTTTGGTGGTTCATGGTTCATTGTGTTAGATCAGGGTTCATTATTTTGGTGGATCGTTGTTCATTGTTTTCATGGTTTAGGGTTCATTGTATTGAGGGTTCGGGGATCATTGTTTTCATGGTTTAGGGTTCATTGTATTGAGGGTTCGGGGATCATTGTTTTCATGGTTTAGGGTTCATTGTATTGAGGGTTCGGGGATCATTGTTTTCATGGTTTAGGGTTCATTGTATTGAGGGTTCGGGGATCATTGTTTTCATGGTTTAGGGTTCATTGTATTGAGGGTTCGGGGATCATTGTTTTCATGGTTTAGGGTTCATTGTATTGAGGGTTCGGGGATCATTGTTTTCATGGTTTAGGGTTCATTGTATTGAGGGTTCGGGGATCATTGTTTTCATGGTTTAGGGTTATTGATTTGATGGTTCATGGTTCATTGTGTTGTTTCAGGTGTTCATTGTTTTGGTGGTTCGGGGTTCATTACATCTGTACGACATTTCGACGACGCTTCAACTGATTCACTTCAGATTCTAACACGCATGTCAACTGTGAGGTGAACTTTTGAGGATTTTAATTTTCCCTCCCTCCTCCCTCCCTCCCTCCCTCCCTCCCTAACCTCCCTCCCTCCCTCCTCCTCTCCTACTTCTCCTCCTACTTCTCCCCCCTCTCCTCCTGCTCTTCTATTTCTTCTGCTTCCTCCTCCTCCTGTCTGCCATCTGCCAGTTTAGGAACTTAATTATTATCCCAGCCGCGTCCATAAATCTGATATAAGAATAACTGTCTGTCTGTCTGTCTATCTGTCTGTCTGTCTGTCTGAATGTCTGTCTGTCTGTCTGAATGTCTGTCTATACGTTTTCTCTTTTCTTCAACACTGCCCAATGGAATGTCTTCAAACTTCTTCTGGGGAGCTACACACACACACTGGC